TGGAATTTAATTTAATTTACGGTAATCAATAGCGAATCTCCACCTTTTTGGATGCTCCAAAGGATAATCATTATTTTTCTTACATAAAACCACCGGGCTAGCATAACTACTTGAGATGGGCGTTATGATCTTTTTACGTAGCATATCGGTAATATGCCATTCTATAATTTTTTCCTTATTCTTATCATACCGGTATGGTTTTTGACGAACCGGCAATGCATCTCCGGTGTCAATACTATGGTTAGTAACCTGAGTAAATCCTGGAATATCACTAAATAAGGAAGCAAATTCACTTACCACTTGTCGGATTCTATCTTGCTCGTCATTAGGCAGGTGGTCAAGATTTAACCTTGGCGGTTCAACCTTTTCTACACGCACTGGTTTCATCGTCAGCTTAAGGGACGCTTCATTAAAATCCAGTGTAGCTTGTGCGTCTGAAAGAAAGTCTATTCCTAGGATTAAGTGTGCTTGCAAATTCTTTACTATAAAAAACATCACCTTTACTTGTTCGTCCTTGATACGGATGTACAAAGGTACTTTACCTACGCACTTACATTGTTCTCCTTGCGCCGCTAATACTGTTGTATTATCCGCATTATATATGCGGTATTTGCGAAAATACTTTCTAAAAAAGACTTCTGCCACACAGGAACACTGCGCGCCGGTATCCAGGAGTGCGGTGGCCGGGATATTATTTACCAAGACTTCAATCTTCGGAAGAGTTAAATTTTTCACCATTACTGTATTTAACTTGTAGGAAGAGGGGTTTTCGTGGCCTTCGGATTTCCGCACCCTCTCGTCAGCAGAAATCCGTTTTTAGTTTAAATTATTTTTCCTTTCCGTGCTTTCCTTCTTTTCTCCACTGGCCTTGAGACTTTTTTCCTGGGTTGCTATTGAACTGTCGACGTTCGCCGGCTGTTTTTTGAATGCTCGGGTTTCCTTGCCCACTGATTCGCTTTTTCTCCGTAGCCATGTGCTTGAGTTTGCTGTAGTCTTGGCGTACCAAATTGGTTTCGCTGTTGATATTGGCGTCTTCTTTCGACGTCCGCCGTTCTTCTACTTTCAAACTGGATTGCTAGCTCAAATAACTTTTCCAGTGTAGTCGGATTTCTTAATTCAATAAAGTCTTGCACTTGGGGTAGTAACCTCGGCAAAATCACTTGAATTATTTCAGGATCCGGACGGTTTCCATACAAGAGCTTGAAAACGTGAATTTTTCTTAAAATAAAGCTCGAGAGGTTTTCCATTCTTTGTTGATATATACTGAAAAGTTCCGTTTCTAATTTCGCACGATCCCTTACAACAGGGAAGGCTTTTAGTAGGGCAGTCTTGAAATTTTCGTAAGTATAGGTGGGACTTCCTGCTTGACCCAAGAGACTTCTGCCGATACATTTGAACCAGTTAAGCGCTTGGCCCCTCAAAGCGCTGGTAGCTAAGGTAACTTTTTGAAACTCGTGCACGGGGTAGAGCATGAAGTGGTCATCCAATTTTTCCAAAAAAACTGGTTACCGGTGAGTTTCCATTAAACGTTGCTTCTGGTTTCATCGAAGCGCGCATGGTCTGGACGATGTAACCAAATCCTTCCAGGGCGGCAGCTGGCATTTCTGGATTCTGAGCCGTTTCTTCTGCAGGCAGCACAGGTTCTTCTTGAAACTCGGCCATGGTTATTCTTCGTTCGGGCGCCACTATCAGGTTCAATGTTTCTTCTAACTTTCTTCGGGAAACATACAAGGACCTGACTAGGAACAGAGAGCTTACTAAAGCTATGTTCACTAATTGTGGTAGTAGTAGACAGGATACAGACGAAGGGTATACAAAACCCTTTATTTTTTCTTTATATACAATGAACTTCCGTACTTCGGAATACAATGACCCTCCACTCGGGGTCTAACGCAAAAGATATAAAAATAAAACTAAACTCTAATTTAACTTTAGAATAAGATTGGCCTTATAATAACAGGAAGCGTATGTAGCACAGAGACTGTGAACACTACAATACGTTTAATTTATCAAGAGGATTAAAACCTCTGGCCTGGAAGGCAAATAGCAACTGCGTAACTTCTAAGGTAAGCGGCCTGCTTCGAACTCACTGCTTCCTCTCTTCTGCTTGGCAAAAAGGCCACACTTAAATACTTGGCGTTCGCCAGACAAACTTTGCATAAAATCCTTCACGCTTATAATTCTGGCCGGAAGTAGAAAATAAGAAGTGATAGTAAAGATTTAAAATAAAATAAACGTTAGTAAAACTTAAGATCCTTACAACGTTACCTATTTCGCGATTCCCTTCGTGTCTTTTAATGGTTTTCTCACATTTTTTGATGGCTTGTTTGTGTCCATTCTCTATTTAACAATGAGAGAGGATGATGTAGTAGCGCTGTCGGAACATCCAGCAAACACCATTTAGAAAGTCTCATTTCCTTCTCATTTTTGAGCTTTGTTTGACATTTATTTGTAACTCAGTAATATGATTTTCGCACCCAAGGTACTTTTGGCATTATTTATAATATAGTTTATATGCTTATGTAAAATTGCATTTGCAGTTTAACAGTAAGTAAATGAAGAAATTAACGAAAAAATTAGCGTAAACAAGTAGTCTCCGATTACAATTTCGTTAGAGCTGGGTCCAGCTTTCTCAATGCGTTGCTGTCACGATGTTACAACGTAAAAACATGTTGTTACGCTACAAATTTTACTGTGTGTACTGTAACAGCCGTTCTTTGGACTGAACCCTAATGAAATTGGAAGCAGCGACTAATTCTTGTTTATTTATATTGATCTTTAAGCTGAATTTCTTAATTTGTTTGCGGTTTATATATTCACAAATATTAATTATTTTACAAAGATAAACAGAATATATGCGCATTTTTAGCACGATGGCAGTTAAAAAAAAGTAGATGCTGACGAGATGATGTTTTAAAATTTGCCATGTACTTGATGCAAATTGTTAGAAATAATATGTGGTTTTTACGAGAGAAGTCACTAAGCAAATCATAAATTGGCAGAATACGTTTGAAAATAATAATAAATACTTTACATGTATTTTAATGTTGGACGGAGCCATCCCAGCTCATGATATTCTTTTTTTATTTGCAAATTATCAGTTGCACGTGGGTAGTTCAGTTTGAAAATACCAATGGAACTCGATGACAGGAGTGTGCGTGTTGTTATACGTTTTTTTTTTTTCTTTTTCTTTTCTGCGAGGGGGGGTATGGGGCAAAAGGACACCGTGTGAATGATATTCATAAAGCTTTCTATTTATAGAAAGAACTGCTTTCACATAAAGCCGTGTACAAGTGGGCTGAGAAATTTTCTCAAGGCCGCTTCAGAGTTTGCCATGAAGACCTAAGTGGGCGTTCTGTTCTGATTGAGACAGACTCAACAACACAGAAAATGAGGAATACGCTATAATAGTAACAGTACTCATTAAATCCCAAATCTTTTTTTTTTTTTTTTATAAAAAAGCATATTACCGTCCACACCATTCTGTATTTAAGCCGGATAGTGCCACGGCAAACTGGGTTTCGTGGACGTCCACTAGCGAATATCTCTACAATCTGTATTATGTGCAAGTCTAATCATCCAGCATGCTGTAGTATTGGTGGTTATGAGTTTTAGAACGTATGAGGTAGCATTTACGATTGATATCGCCAAAATGTGCCAGGAGATTCATGTAGCTAAACAGGACAGAAACTTCCAAAGAACTGTATAGCAAAATAGCTCGGAAGACAGAATTCGCGAGTTTCAGCTAAGCACAGTAGCTTACGCTATGACTCCTTTTTCATTTTTGGCAATCAGAGATTTGAAAAAAAAAAAAAAAAAAAATTGCAACTGACTCTGAAAATGACTCGTCGCGTATCTCTGAGGTAATAAGAAATGGTTTCTACATGGATTGACCTATTGTCTGGTTCCGAATGTACTAAAGACGCTTTTGTAATTATGTAAGGCATTAGAAGCTAGAGGTTTTAAATTAACGAAGTGGCCAACCAATTGCTTTTTTCAAGTAAACATTTGTTAAATCGGGGAATTAAGTCACTTAATATGGAACTTATATCTAATGAATGTTCTTAGGATTATACTGAGATACAGTATAGGATGCATTTGTGTTTAACACTTACTTAGCTTTCGAAGAAAAACCTCACAAAGCGCAAAATGTTGTCGCAGTCGATGAAGATCTTTGACCTTCTTACTTTGCTATCACCGATAGTGATGAGGATCATGCATCAACAATTTTGAATTTATAAAACCTATTGGAATAATCCAATTCCTAATAGTAACAGTAAATGCACCTGTTTGGTCCATTAAAAAACATCTTGGAGGTAAACGGCAAACACATTGCAGATGATAGCGATGTTCAACGTGTGCTGAAGTAGCAATCCAAAGAATTTTACGCAGCTGGCATTAGAGTATTGATAAATCGATTCGAAAAGTATATAAATAACCATAAAAATCTTGTTGAGAATTAAAAATAGTCTTCATGTGAGTATCTAGTTATGTTATTTCGTAATTGCCTTTTGTGACTTATTTATTTATTTCACTTCTCTTCGTTCAACTGAAAAGATTATTCCTTTTCATAAATTCATCCATTCCTATACTGTATAGAAAAAAAACAATTGCATGAAAAAAATTCAGTGATGGTTATTAGAGCCTGTAATTTCAATAACTAAGTAAACTGTTTCTTACACTATCGTAATCTATTTGGTAAACATTATATCCTCGTGGAATGCATCTATATCTAAAAGTACGCGCTTTCTTACATTATAAGTAAAATCGCTGAAAACTATCTGTTACGGCTTCAGAAGGATTAATAGAACTACTTCTAAGTGAATTCTGATGATTTTACGTAGGAATAATATGAAAAGGAACTAATTGTTTTAAACATTCCAGACGGAAATATTTTCTGTATTTTCTTTTACATAATCATCAACTTGTTAAATAATTATGTTTGTATTATTAATGTGAAAAAATAACAGTATCTAGGATAAAGCTGTGTATTAACATACCTTTCCGACAGATGTAATCGCCAGGGCTAAAAACTTGAAGTCTCAATCTTAGCACCAACTGAACCAAGAGTCCCGGTTCACAGTCTTGAAAAATTCGGACTTGCTTCAAGGTATCAAGATGAACATGAATAGCGATTTCAGCTTTCAGTTTATCTGGAAGCGTAGAGGTAACAGCATTTTCGTCAAGCGATTGTTTGTTAGTCCATAAATACTCGAACCACTTGATAACTCTATTTTCTAAATCTTGTCCGACCTTCCGGAATTCCAGGTACTGTTTTATGTTATCCATCTTGCTCTGAAACTCAACACGGGCAGCATTCATATTGGTTATCATGCTACCAACATTTCCGACAATAGTGGCGAAGATCAAAACTCCAACTAAAAAGTCTATCACTACGAAGAGATATTCTATGTCCTGTTCTGGAACGGGAACTTCTCCAATCGTTGTCAAAGTAAGCGTAGACCAGTAAAAGCTGTAAATGTACTGATGTGTCAGAGATCCGTATTTTGGATCTGAGACATTTTTGTACACCTGTAATGTAGATAAAAATAAGTCAGCCTCTTTGAAAATTAAGAAGTTATCGTAATAAATAAGTAAATTATTTCTGAAATAAAATAGTGGATGAATTGTAATGGTATGCGGGATTTTAGTGTGTCACTGTACTGTAATGGAGAAAGATATCTGAATGTAGCTAATCGTAATGAAAAGGTAAATACTCCAAAGCTAGCAAATTTAATAGAGTAATATCTAATTCCTAATTTGTATCCTTATGACACGACAGATACCTGTATTGTACTATTGACCTGATAGATACCTGTATGAATGCAGCACTTGATAGGATTTTTGATATTGCAATGTTGCATAGTGCAAATATGATTGTAGCTGATATTATTAAAAGTCGATATGACGAATTGAAGAACATCAGGAAAGATGTGGGTGAAATTAAAGATCTACTTAAAAATAAAGGGAATGGAAGAGATATTGTTGAACTGAAAAAGAATGATGAAAAGTATGAAAAATTAGAAAATAGAGGAAAGGAAGTGATCTTGAAACCTACTGCTACTGATATTGAAGTTTTCGAGGAGTTATCTTCCTGATTATAACCAGGGGATGTGAACATCGAAGTTTTGAACTCTTGCTATAATAAAAAGGGAGATTTTTGTTACAAGGTTTAGGGATAACAATGGCACGAAGAAACTTCGTAAGGCGACTAAAGAAAAGTAAAATTTGAGGAATACGGTACACGTTAAGGGCAGGAAAATTATCACACCTAGAGTTATTATGTTATAAGCTATTTACCCCACCTTCTTGGCATATCTTCGTGGAGTAGTGGTTCTGCACGCTGGGCCGGTATTCCAGAGGTCCATGGTTCGATTCCCGGCGAAGGCGGTTGCTCATTTTTCATCTCTCCGGCTTTTCCAATTAACCTAATGACTCTACAATGTATAATGTTTCTGATTTTATAAAAAATGAAGAAATTGTGAAAAAGTTTAAACTAAATTGTACCTGCTTCAATATTTGTGTCCGTTTTTTATTTGATATGATTACAGATAGAGATAATTATACTAGTCACTGAGTTTTCGGCATTAATGCAGAATGTCAGGTGGAAATCTAAAAGTAAAAGGTTAAAAGGTTGATAACTGGATGGAAATCTTACCCAATCAGGCATTTTCTTCAGCCCAAGCATTGTTTGAAATGTCTAAAGTTGGAACACATTAAAAAATACTCTAGAAATAGAGTTAGCTGCATAAGATGCTCTGGAGAACACGGAAAGTATGACTGTAGGGGGGTGGGAAACTGTGTTGTATTAGTTGTCGAGTTTCAAATGAAACATGTCATACAGACTCTCCTTCATGGATCCAGAGATTAGAATTTGAAGTAGTGTTTTTTTTAAATGTCTTCTGAAATTTTCTAAAGAACAGAGTTAAAATTTGAGGAGAGATTAAATTTACGAGTAATTCCCTTTTGATTGCAACAAAATACTACATGAGCTGTCTTGAAAAAAAGCAAAGTATTGATATTTATCCTTGATACTATTAAATAAATAAATTTAAGAATTTTCCTTATAAGCCTTATATAATAATTATAGTAAGCTATTAAATATTTCAGTTCTCGTATCTTAAAGAAAATATTCAGTTAATTGCAAGACTACTCTGAAGGACACTGAAAATTATTGGGATTTTGTATGTATGTTTACGCTGACTCAATGTGTGTAGTTAGAAATGATTTCCAAAATTGTGTACCTAAATAAATAAAATTGTTTTTAAGTTGCAAAACTTGCACCATGCAAAAAAACGTTCGAAGTATGGTAAAACACAGCATCTCAAAATGCATAGTAATGTAATAAACGAAATGTAAAAATCGGATTGAGTTAAAAATATTCTTTTTGGCATTTTTTCTTCATAAACTGGAATATGCATAGTTTTTCTCTTTGACCAATATTAGCCTATTTTAGGTTTTTTCATTTGAGACATTAGAGTGCGAAAAAATAAATTTAAGCTTGTTTACAGTTGCGTCTTTTCCTTCATCACCTAATTTTCGTTTAGGTGATGGGGACTATTTATCATCTGTGATACATATAAATTTATTTCAGCAGCTATTCCATTCCATCTATCATCAGTCAGCATTATATTGATTATAACCATTACAGTAGGATTATTTTCTGATTTTTATAAAAATAAAGAGTTTTGTTAATAAAGAGTATAAAAATAAAGAGTTTATACAGGGTGTTTTCGTGAAGGTAAACTTTTTTGGATCATTATTACAAGGAACCCATTACCAGTCACTAGAGTTATTTTCATTTGCTGAAGTTTTAGTTATTTTCATTGCATTCTTGTCCGAATCTTCGCAAGATAAACGTCTAATTTGTTTTTCTTCCTTTGAAAGAAAATAAAGTCATCACTATGATCTTCGAAATTAATTTTAAACCTTGCCATATTTAATTACAAATGAAATTATTTTGTGTTTATACTGTGTGTGTGTTTTGTGAACGGTGTATTATTTCTTAATTGTATAGAATAATTACTGTTCGAAATCAATCACACTGCACACAAAGTTAGCTAGATTAACTTGCACAAAAATTGTTGAAAGACCATTTACCCGTTGCTGTGTAATGCTGTCACGAAAATACATCACAAGTTTGATTTGTTACTGCTCGTATTCACAAGAATAGACTACGATTATGATTCATTATTCTGTGAGAAATGGTTATAAGAATAATAATGATTACTCATTACTGAGCTCATTGGTTTTTATCATAACCAATAAGAAATATTGTTAAAAGTGCTGCCTTACTGTAAGGAATGATACCACTACGCAATGCCATTCTTTTTTTTTTTTTTTTTCTGCATTCTTCTATCTCAGTTTTAGGTTCTAGATTACCTCGCAATTAATTTCCTGATGCTTGTAGAATAAATTAAAAAATATGTCATCCTAGAGCTCATAGTCTAATTTATAATCGCTCGCTTTTTCAACAGATCTATTTTATTGTTCCTTAATTTTCAGAAACTAAAGTAGAAGTGTTGGCTCATGGCATTTATTAAGCTTATCTAGAGCTCTGGGTGCCAGTAAATTGAGATGAAAATTCAAGAGAAATAAACGACTTAATTCGCAGGAAACTTCATGCGTACCCAAGTGTCAGTTCCAAAACCAATGGCGTAACTCATGGCGAAGAAGAAACATGCATTCCAATGAATGATCACCAAGATATAGAAGATGAGTTTCGCAATCCGGAAAGCGTATGGGAAGTTGGTCCTTGTTTCTGTCCTATCGAAAAATTCGAGCATTCTGGGAAACCGGAAGAGCCGATTAAGGCGCACAATAACTCCACAAGGCACCTTTGTCTTACATGAAGTACCAATGACTACGTACAATATGTCTGTTGGAAGTAAACTGATGATATCCAGTTTGAAAGAAATGGAAGATGTATAATTCTTGACAAGCTTGGAACGGTCCCGTACAAGCAAACCTTGTTCTAAATAGCCTGGAAAGAAAACAACAGTAACTATTTATTTACATCAGTTATAGTAAAAAAAAATTACGTGATGACTATAACAGCTAATTTTCGCATAAAGTAATTTGGAAAGCAGTCTATAAGGTCAATTGCAGCAAGTGATACAAAAATATATGTAATAGACATTTATGTATATTTTTATATCGTTTGCTGTATATTACTTGAAGTAGTTTAGAAATTAGTAGGAAAAAAGTTCCGACTTTTTATCCCAGTAATATGGTTGTGGTAAAAACCGTCATTGCGGTAGCATTAAAGGTAGTGACTTTCTGCTATAATTTGAAAATTAAAGTGAGAGAATTTTATGAAATTTTAATGCACTTTGGAATATCAGTAGCATAAGCAATGTATTTTCATGGCTTGAATAAAATAGAGTATTTTATAAAGCTGTAAAAAGGATAAGGAAAGGTTCAAGAATAAGTAAGAAAAGATGAGCAGTGCTTAAAGTCCATTAATTAAAATTTATTTAAATTTTATTAGCTAGAGGAGGAATTTCCATGCAATTATATAAGTTTGACTCTTATTTTACTACTGAGTTTATGGGTTATGTTCATGAACTTTTATTTTATTTATGAATACGAACAAAGGTAGCTGGTATGAAGAATTTTGTTTGATGTCTCTTGTGACAGTTTCTGTATATTTAATATTTAATGTAAGTCATTAATTATTTCGAAGTTGCCAATGTACTGTGGCCTGGAGATTAAAGAAAATTGTAACTCCAATACACAATATCTAGTTCTAATCTTTTATAAAACGTAGCCGATCTAAAAATATAATATGAATCTAAAATTATGAAAACTAATTATGTGAAAGTCACAATCTGCGATCATCGTAAGGCTCCTTAGTCTCAAGGGCATCCGAGAAGGAAATCACAGTTGCTGGTCGAAACCCTCACAGAGATTGAGTGCTTTAAGAAGTTTTTCATTTTATTTTTTAGGTTGCTGAAGAAGTTAATTATTTTTATTTGATCTGTGTATGTTGGAAGCAGATTTAAAAATGAATGTGTCGAGGGCAGGTTCTAAAATACAGAGAGAGTAAAATACAAATCATGGAAAAAATTTACTTTAAAATATTTCATAATATAATATTTTTTTTCTGAAACAAATTAAAGAATTTTTTCAATTTAATAAAATAACATGCGGGTTGCATTCACGTAACATTTAGTAATTTTTTGACAATCAGAAAATACCGTTCTGGATTCAGTACACAAAATTGTAATATAATACTGAAGCTGCTTTTATAGTTTGAGAAAGATTTTGATAAAAATATGAAAATATATAAAACATTCCAAAAGAATTTTGGTTGCTCATTTTTTTAGCCTAAATTATCTATTGCTGAAGTTAAATGTCTTTTATTTTAAAAATGGCACATACAAACAAGTTTCGCGCTTATGTTATTCTTTTTCCCATTTTAAAGCGATTTATCTTATTAACTACAAAGGAAGGTTTAGTTTTCGATAAATGAGGAGAATAATATCTTTCAGGTATTATTTTACATAACAACAATAATAAAAAAATAGCAACAAGAGAAAATCTCTAGAAGGCATGTAATTTAAATGCAAAAGCATTTGCCACAAGAAATATTCCACTGACTCAAAAAGTGATATATTTCTGTGTCTGTATAAATAAAATAATAAACTTAGATTTAAATCTCAAGTCAGATAAAATGCATAATGTTTTTCGACTTTCAGTTGTATAATTCAAAATCATTTAACCAAAGTGAAATAGACAGGTAGTAACTTCCCATTTACCAATTGATGAAAAGGATTAAAAAACTAATAAAAAAGTGCGTAAATGAGAAACGCAGTAAAATTCAAAAATTCTGCATATTGAGATTTCAACAAAGCATTAATTTATGTAAATAGTCGTCATAAAAGAAAATCGATTTCTGCTTAAAAAAGAAGCGAAAGGAATTCTTTAAAAAAATTAAACTAAATTTCAGTAAGAGATTTTTGATGTTCGTTTCTTTCACAAATGCAAATTAAATAAAAAAAATACAAAGCATATGTTAAAAATAAGCTTTTTTGCTATCCAAATAATGTTATAACTCTTTAATTTAAAGGAAAACTCCATCGGTACTTTTCCGTTTCACCGGCGCAAATCTAGCAAACGGACTTTATTGGCGACAATACACAGTATACACATAAAATATGTTAACAAATGTTAGTTCTAAGAATTTTTTATTTTGAAGTTATAAACATTTTAATATCGTTTAAAATTTTGTAAAAAGACATTAATTTAAAAATTCACTATGCTCTCATGGTTGAACATCCTGATTCACCGGTTCATATCATGTGGCCTAGAATGATCTCATTTCACGTAAACTACGCTACAAAAATCTAATTCTCTTAGTAATTATCTACATTTCAAGCTAAATCTTAGATTAAATACAAGTTAAAATGCAAGAGTTATTTTAATTTGTACGAATAGCTTACTCAGAAATTATGTAAAATTGCAGTTAGAAGTGATGAATTAAACCCTTGACTTTGCCTTTTCTATCTTTTCGGGTGAGTGGTGTGATTGTATTCTAATTGACTTAATAGCCGCGAATAGCCTTAGGGCATAAAATTGAACTATCTGGTAAAAATTCTATGTAATTGTATGCCAGTATTGAAAGAAACAATCAATCTGATAAGAAATAGTTGCAACTTGTTTTGAAAATAAAGGAGTAAAAGGTTACCAGTGGGGATATTCTGTTTGGCATCGGTTGTACCATTTTTGGCGACTTTAGCGCCTGCGCCGGCAAAATGGAAAAGTACCACTCCATCTTTTACTTGCAAAATTCTTATAAAATTATTTCATTAAAATAAAGCTGCCAAACAAATTGTGTATGCAAATCGATCACGAAATATTTTGAAAAAGTTCGAAAAAGTTAACTAATAAATCTATTTTCTTTATTCATATTCTTTCAAAAAGCCTTGGATATTTCGTAAATAAAGTACTGTACGTTTTGAAACGGCAAAAAGAATGCTTTCCGAACCTTGACTCATAATACTGGCTAAACTAAAGAAAACAAAATACCGCTGCTAAAATGTAACAACTTTCCTCTTATCTTAGGCATCTACATGTAGAATGTTGCCCACAGGAAGTACAACAAGGCAGAATATTTAAGAAAATAAAACTATAATGCAGAAAATACCTTCTAAAATAAATAAACGGCTTCTATAAATTGAGAGATTGACATTATTGAGTATTATATTAGATTATTATAATTTGCATCAAGTTATGTGTAACCATGAATCTTTCTATATCTCTTGCATATGACAGATAATAGAACAGCCAATAAATTGCAGTATTCTATAAGAGAAGAGAGTCATTTGTAAAGAAATCAGATATTAACTGAAATAGATTAAGCATAAAATTCAAGTAACATTGGTTTTTAAGGTAAAAAAATGGATGCTTTACCTGTTCGACAATGAACAGCAATATCCACCATATAAATAATATCAGAAACGTAGTCCATGAAGTACCAAAGTCTCGGACAGAGATTCTGAAGCTCCCAGAACACACTGCGACCAACGATTATGATAATGTTATAGAATACTGCTACGGATATTATTGACAACCATCGATAATAGACATGAGCAGCCGGATCGAGAACCAGCACACTACCGAACCTTCGAAAGTAAAATATTTTCTTACATATAGGAAATTAAACGCATTAGATTTCTGTAATAAATATTCGATTATAACCCTCTCAGTTTTTCAGAATTAAATATTTTTTAGAGTTACATAAATTGAAATGCATCACTTTCTAATATTACAAAATCAGAATAAAATATAAGATAATAATTACAGATAAATTACTAATTTTTTTACTGCTGCTTCCAATAATATTCTAAAAGGCTTCAAATAATAAGAAATATTTGCAAACCATTTATAAAGATTGTTAAATATTAGCATTCATATTTGGTAGCTTACTTGTTTTCCATACAGTTTCTGAAATTTGTGATCATTTTTATTTCCACTGTTACAATTAAAAATATCGCTCGCCAAATTTACTTTAACTAGAGAGACGTTAGACTAGAACTAGAAGACTAAGATTAGAGACTAGATTTACAGACAAGAATTGAGATTAGAATTAGAAAGACAAAAATTGAGATTAGAATTAGATTACATTAGCGTAGAAATGATGAATAATGCAGAATAAAGGACATATTTATAATAATAGTTTGCTAGAAGCTTTTACTTCTTACTAATATTTGATGTTACAAACACAATGCTCAATGCATTTGCAACTGAAATATTAATCCGCAGTGAAGCCAAAACGTATAATTCAAATGGAAATCAAAGGTCTTGTGTTTTTGTCACACAAATTCTAATATAGATACCTCGATTTATTATTATTATTTTAGTTATTATTTCATATTTTTAGAAATAAAATATATACCGAAAATCGTTTTTAAGTATACAGGAAAACATCAATTGATGGCACAATATGCTTGCGTATATGCCATATAGACTATGTTTAAAGAATAAGAGTTTAATAATTATTCTTCCAGCGTATACATTCCTGCTAATATCACAAAATTATGTAACCAAGATCTGTGTAAGTAAGGAACGTACCCAGCCTCATCTCTAACCCTGTTGATATGATACACATGAAACCTATTAATGACTATATCCACCTCTTTATGTTTTGATCATCCCATTGTTTGCCTTGTAGTTGATGTCTATGCTTTGCTTTCTAGGTAAAGCGGCCAATCCACGTTTACTTTGGCGTGTCCAAACTGCTGGGAGATAAGCAACTTTTAATCGTCCAGAAAGGATCTTTTGATAGGTTTGTTTGCTGACTTTGTAAATATTCCCTTAAGCGCTTATGTATTTTGCAATATTTTTTAAAGGGCAGAGGCTTAGCATGTGGGTAGACCTATTGAGAATGAGTCAAGAATAGAAAAATGAAAAACATTTTACAAGCACTATACAAGGTTGAAATTAGCTTGAGATCAGAGCTGTTTGATTTAATTCCAAGAATATAAGCCTCTAAAATGGCGAATTGCAAGTATTTTCTTTAATACATAGTATACTTATGATTACAGTTTAATATTTCATCTTTTCTAACTTAATTTCGATTCCTATAAGCCATTGATGATTATTGGGAATTCGCAACCAGTGACATTTTTGAGAAATCCAGCTTTAGGACAACTGTTTTGCAAAATTTGAGTTGAAAATATTGATTAAGGGTCCTTATTCTGGCATACTCTTTATCGATAATGGTTACTGAGGGATTAATGTAGTATTCCTTTGGTGAAGTATAATTTCAAAACTAACTTTAGATTGCCATTATAAATAAGGCTAATTTTATCGTGGGAAGGAAAAGGCAAAAATTTCCGGAGCGGTCATTGGCTAAATACTGAAAGTTTGCTAAGCCTTTGCTAACTGGATTTCTACTAACTATTTAATTAATTTAATTATTATTACTATTGCAAAAAATACGTCTGTCGTGGATATATATTAACATTTTGGGGTGCGATATCTACCAGAAACGAAGCAATAGCACAGACAAGTATTACATAACTAACTAACATTTAATTATACATTTTTTGATTGAAATTTACATTTACAAGTAAATCAGATTCTAGAAACTTATTCAACCATGTCATTTTATATCAATATTACTATTTAAATGTGCTAAGGTTCTGTGCGTCTTATTGAATATACGAATGTTTTCTTTCATAAAAAGCCCTGCTTTATAAAGAAAGATCATTCGGCATCGAAAGTATTTGTCGGTATGGATCGGCTAGAAAGTGGATTCACGTAACTTAAGAAAGATGTTTTTTCCTCGTATTCCAAAAATCCAGCAAAACTTTGCCATTCAGCCTCCTAGTTTAATACTTGGAATATGATTACTCTGCGATACGTTTCTAGAAATTAATCTGCTACCAGCACTAATAGAGAAACGTCGAAAATTTCTGTGGAAGTTTGCACTACAGGGTTCTGATGCATATTGTGCAACCTGTGACTAATGGGTTTCTCAACAGAGCTGAGAAGCAATGTGTCATTCGCCGCATTGTGATGGTAGTGCTTTATCGAAAGAAATAGATGGGACTCGGAACAGACTTTTCTCTGCTATGGTTGGAAACAAGGCTAAAGTCTTGGCTGGTTGACAGGAACAGAATGAAAGTTGCGCTCTTAATGAGTTTACTATGTAAAAAAGATTTCGAACGCTTCTAAGAAGTTCAAACCGAGTGGCGAATTAGTCCAGCATATTTTTGGTCTTCGTGCTTTCCAATTCGTGGTCTTCATTCTTACAATGGGAAACTAGCCAAGACTTTACTTCCTTCGAAATTGAGAAATGATGGTCAAATAGCAGAGAATGCAGCATTTGTAAGTCTACAGTAACTCGTAGTTTATTATCCAATTAATTTTAAGACTTTCAAACATACAAGTTTGGAAAGTAATTGATAAAGGTGCTCTTTTTGCAGCTGATTGCTTTGCTAAAGCAGGAAGTCATTAAATTGCAGCTGACCTATTTTCTTTCAATGGAAATATATTTTAAGTGATTAGTTTTTGCAGCTGATTGCTTTGCTAAAGCAGGAAGTCATTAAATTGCAGCTGACCTATTTTCTTTCAATGGAAATATATTTTAAGTGATTAGTTTTTGCAGCTGATTGCTTTGCTAAAGCAGGAAGTCATTAAATTGCAGCTGACCTATTTTCTTTCAATGGAAATATATTTTAAGTGATTAGTTTATGGAAAGATATGAAGCCTTTTGTTTTTATTTGGTTACCAAAGCATTATGATTAATTTATCATATAGAATTTAACTTAATGCATACAAAAATTATAGCTTTTTTCTGGAACTATTCATTATGTCGACGAATTTAATTATTTAATTAAATTCGGTATCTTCCTTTATGAAAATTTACAACTGAAATTATACTACAAGTAGGATCAATGGTTACGGATATAACTATTGATTTAATTATTATTACTATTGCAAAAAATACGTCTGTCGTGGATATATATATATTAACATTTTGGGGTGCGATATTAATTTTTTACCAAACATTCTGCATATTGCTATACAAATAAACTACAAAAATATGTCTAGAAATATTTATAATTACTACCTTTTGAAGCAATTCCCATCCAAATCTTCTTCTGTTATTTGTGCTGGCTGTGAAGTAAATTTCTCTAAAAACGAATCAGGTCTTGGCTGGTTGGCTCCATTTTTCCTAGATTTTCCGGTTAGAATGAGTGCATGCTAAAAATACAGTCTGCTTTATTTATGTAATTTAACATAATTGTAAAATTAAAAAATTTTTGATTAATTTTATAGGTATTCTTGCTTTAAAAATTAGATGCAAAAGTGATAAGAAAATGTAAAGTTGAAGAAAGATAACTTTTAAAATTTTAAAAATTATTTTGTCTTAGTTTATACGTTAAGAAATTAAAATATTTTTTCAACAGTTCGTGAATGTCTGTAGCTTCTATAGCTCCGTTACAAATATCAACAGAGAAATGCAAGCGAATTTATTTTCATGTTGTTGACAATAATGATCCATCATGGAAATGCATATTCAATTATACCACTGGTATGGAATTAATACAATTTTATGGCATCTTTCTTAATTTAGCATTACAGAAGTGTTTACCAAGCATTTAAAAAGGAACTTCATTTTGTATTTGAAAGGTAGCAAATTCCTGTCGCTTAATAATGTTATGTAATGTCTTATAAAATCTGGAACTTGAGAGAAAAATCTGTTTGCCAAAATCCATTTTTAAATACAATAATTCAATACTATTTAAAGTATTATTTTGCATTTAAAACAGAATTACTTTAAAATACTAAGAGAGTTTTAAAGATGCTAGTGATATCGAAATTTCCATGTCTCTACACAACCAACTATTACCCAAATTACGAGTATTTCCCAAGTAAAAATATCGTATAAAGGAGTATGCCGCTGTCAGCTTTAATAGTAGACGAAAATTACTCTACCTTTATGAAATTTATATGCATTTAAAGGAAGACAGACACTAAATTCTTATTTTTAAAAAAGTAAATTAAATATTTGAACATCTATTGATATCTTGAACAAAATTCATTTTAGTTGGCTCTAATTTGGATGAGTAATTTATTTGATATATAAACTTACCCGTACTCTGTTTACAAATCCACTAAAACGTGAATTTTCTCTCTTGCTGCTTTCTGCCGCTAACTGTTCGATTCGAACGATTTCTGAGCAAATACTTTGACTACGACCAGAAGACGGGGATGCAGATGATACGCCATTCTCCAGTGTCTCCATCTGGTGACAATTAACTTGTTGTTCTTTCATCGTCAGTCACACTTACTGCCATGATTTCGGATTAAGAATTAATTTAAATGAGTTATTTGACTATGGATTTGTTGCCAAATGTAGCATTGCCTTTAAATGCATCTCAAACCATCATGAATACTGTAAAAGAAAGAGATTTATTATGAAAGACTGAAATATCGATTTGCAAGATGCACATTATACACACATTTGAAATTCATGCTAAAAAAACTAAGAAATGAAACAAACTGAAACCTGTTCATGGATTAAAACAAGTTTTTGTTTTCCTCTTTTTATTCCTCCCTTTTTCTTAGTTTGAATAATCAAAATAATCTAGCTGTTCTGGAAAAATTAAATTAATTTCTGTAATTTAAAATAACAGGTGTAAAAATTTAATAATTTCCTTATTGCATAAGAATATACTGATTTACTAAGCAAGAACCTAAATTACTAATATTATTATCATTAATTATAATGAATTAAATATTTAGATCTATAGTTGAATTTTTATTTTAAAACAAACATATGATGATGAGAGCAGGCAATAGAAACAAGGTGATTTCTACGTAATATAAGAATAATTTACTGGCTAACCCAAAAATATTATGCCAGAATGCTAAAGAATTAAAAGAAAAATATACAAAATGCTGGCAAACATGTTAGAGATCAAACTGATCAGCGCACAAGGGAACAACCCCCCCCCCAAAAAAAAAGGAAAATGGTTGTTTCTCCTTATTACTCTGAGCACATATTTGTTTATCAGACATACATTTGTTCAAGAAAGTCATCAGGCGAATTTGTTTATATTAAAAATTTCAAGAATCATTTTACTCTTCTCTTAATCGGTACGGCGATTAGCAATACCATCTATTATATCTTTGGGATCGGGTTTGAATCCCGGAAAAGGTATGGATATTGTGTTGCCTTTATGGCATGGGGCCATTAACAATTTAAAACACCGCTGAGCCGAAGATTCTCTCAAGAGATTATTAGTTGAGGAAGAGAGGTATCAGACACTTGGATTCACTTCTGGGTGTTCTCCATAAAAATAAGACAGAACTGGGCAAACTCGCTTAAAATGTACGTAGAATCTTGGTCAGCGAGGGCGTTCTCTGTTCTTCTTTTTTGGCCATGAGGATCACTTGGACTTGCTTTCCATTATGTACGAATCAGGAAGATTCATTTTCAACAAAACATTTTCATTATGCTGACAAGAGCCCATACTGGACATTTGCAACAGATAGTTTTCGTAATTAGAATGATCATTTTACAACAGTGCCGAAATGTGAAAGCTTACCGTTTCATCTTCTTGCAACTGGTGTCAAATTCAAGACATGTCTCCCTTTTCTCTAATGTTATTACAACAATACAAACGTATCTTTGTACAATCCCCATTCTCTTGGTGTAAGATAATATAGACCACCAAGTAATAAATATCAATGTCATCAAATTAATAATTAGGGTTAACTTGCATACATAATTAACAATAGAATGTATTTTGCACTGTTTTAACTTCCTATTATTTTCTGAACTCTCCAAACGTGGGATCTGTGAATAACGCTTTCACCTTTTGTTCTAAATATCTTGTCGCATCGACAGAAACTAGGGTTTCTCGGGAAAAAAAAAGGTATGAATATTTTTAACGCTTTTATGAACTTTGAACAAGTGGTCAAAAAGTTTATTACCGCTAAGAAAGGGATGTTGGCCCTAATGCAATAAAGAATATGGCGAAGAAAAGACAATGAGCATTCACATTTCGGACATTGTTCCAATAACTTACCATTTATAAAAATCAGCCGTTTGAAATGTCTAATAAGGAAGGAGACTTTGACACCATAAATAAAATGTTTCTTGTGTTTAGTTATTCTAACTAAGCCTCCTTATCTGAACATCATCTGGTTCAGGTTTACCAGTTCTTCATGATCAGTTTATAACATCTTTCGATCACATTAGATCACTCCAATTTTCTCATAAAATCACGTTTTTGTAAATATTTTTTCACTTTCTATTACATGCAGCTGGTACAGATAAGGGTGATGATATTCACAGCTTTATCGAAAATTTTAGATAAAATTTACCGATCCTTTTGCCAAAAGTATGTGTTACTAATCAAATAATTAATTCAAGTTTAGCTATTATGATACATATCAACAATAATACACACGTTCCTGATTTATATAAGTTTAAAAAAACGTAACCGAAGGGAATTCGGCATATATAAAAAATTTTCAACTGCTTATGCAGTATAATAAAAGTAAATATTTTGGTTTGTTTAACTATGGGAAAGCACTCGAGGGCTATATGTTAAAGGGCAGGGATGCCTTCGTGAACGAATTCCTAAAGGTAAATGGCTCGCATAGATATTGCCACATGGGAAAATAACGAAAACAGCCGTGTATCCAGGCCGTTCGCCTGGAACCGAAGCCTAGGCCGGACTATCAGTGTTCAGCAACTTTACCTGTTGGATGCTGGTGGGCCTAAAAGTAAATAATTTAGAAACAAATTTATCTTGTTATCATATGATAAGCAACTTCAGAAGCTCCATTAGTTAAATTGTAGACAGACGAAGAACAAAAAAACTAGAAAAGGAACTTAGTCCAGTTACCAAGTGGATAAGACCACTGAACCCTGTTAGTTCGATCCCGCTTGAAATATCGACGAACAGGCTGGCTGCATTGCTATTTTCTCCAGTGTTCCCACACATAACATGAATACGAGCCATTTTCCCTTACACAGTCTTCCACCAAGACATTCTTTCCTTTTGGTAAGACAACCTTTTCAGACTTTGTGACTGATTTTGCTAGTTTTAGTTTATAGTATTTTATTTCTTCCGGAAAAATTCAATATTTTGAAATTTTCCTCTATCAAAAAGCTAACAAAAAATAACAGTTAGCTAAACATTTCGTAACAAAATTCCTTTTATGGAAAAGGAACTCACATAAAAAAAATATTTATGTTAATGTGCTTTGGAAGACTTAACCATAATAAGTCCTTAACCATAGTAAGTCCTTAAGTGGTCCTTAACCATAGTAAGGAAAAATAAATGCAGAATGTAATTGATTGTTTTATTAAATTACATATTTCTGAAATAATATAAGACAGTTAATGCACATTTTCCTAAATACTTTTATAGTTTGTTAAATATGTATGGCGAACTATGTTATTCTTTTACATTATGAAAATCAAAGATAAAAAAAATAATGAATTAACAGTAACATCAATTGGCATGAGTAAAAACATAGACGATTGGAATAATTAAAGCTCTGAGCTCTGAAGATTTTGAATCCAAGAGCATGTGTTTTATTGTACTTCTTAAAATTTGTACCATTGGTGAAAATAATACTAATTTTGCTTAAACGATTTTTAAGTGATGAACTGAAAAATGTAATCTGAAATATATCTACTGACAGACTCTGCACTTCCAAATGCCCAGAGTGGTTGCTGCGGAAGATAATACAGGGTCCGCCAGTGAAGCAGAAAATTTTAAAAGTACCCAATGTTTTTCATCAAGCATTCAGTATCCGAATTTGTTTACAGATTTAAGCTGAGTAAAGTATACTAATTTGCTTTTTAAAAATGATGCCGCTCATGCTAGAGCCGTTCCTCTGTAAATATTCTCCTAATCGTGACTGAAAATTTTCCATCACTCGATGAAGCAGGTCATGTTGAATCCACTCCAGTTTCTTGCCTGATATTCGTTTTTTATTCTTGTACAGTTTGTGGTCTATAAATATACACCCTGCTATTCAGTACTCTCCAAGAGCAAAGTCGGACGCGTACAAGTCTGGGAACAATTTGGGAACTAATCAATCACGCTATGCCTTGATGTAAGTCCGTCCAGGAAGTGTTCTTTAACGCAGCTATGCAAACAGGAGCAGTATGACTTGTGGCCCCCTCATGCTGGAAAAAATTAATTTCTAGAAACGTAGGGAGCTGTGGCATTAAAACTATTCTGACCATGTGCGTGTAGCGGTCCGCATTAATAGTTGTGGTGTTTCCCCTATCGTCTTGGATAAAAATATGGTCCAGTAATGCCACATGATAAAACTGCAAACCATACCATTGTAATGTTCCAACCTAGAATTTACAGCTGAATGTGTGGAGCCTTAAGAACTGGTAAGCGGATAATCGCTTAGTTCAGAAATATAGAAACGTAAACGTACGAAGGGTTAATTGACCTTTATTATCCAAAATAAATTTAACAGTTGACTCCATCTTCGAGTTTACAGCAAAGCCACCACTTGGGCTTGAACTCAGGAATACTAAGAATAAAACTTAACGAAACTTAATTAAAGAGATATAGCCAAAGCTGTCAAGATTCTACAAGAGTTGGCCCCTTAACGCTAACTAAACGGCGAAGTTATCAAGGGACTGAAATAAGGCCGAGCGTAGAAATAGCTTTAGGGAGAGTAGCTTAAAAGGCGAACGGGGCTGGTCAGAATCTCTGGCTCTCTAAAGAAGTCAGTAGAACTTCAACTTTAAATACTTGCTCTTCCTTCATTTGCATTTAGCCGCGATTCTGAAAACATGTTCTGGCAGGACATTGTAAGCTGAAATTAAGACGGATAGGAAAGTGACTTCAACTCAAAATTAACTGTTAAAAACTTAGGATAAACCTTGCACCATAACGCTCAGACTGTGTAATGGCTTTTTGTACAACTCATCTGTGTTTTCATTATTCCAATATTGAAAACTCACACAGTCATCATTCTTATTAAACTATTTTACCCAGAAAGCATGCTATACACATAACCTTTGCTTGCTTCATAGTTAACAAATGGCATTGAATGTCACACAGTAATCCAAAACCTCCATGCCCCCCTCCTGAGCAGAAAATGAGCTATTGGACTTTTCAAAATTCTCTCTTCATAGGTGGACACTGTATTAAGCAGATGATGATAAAGCATTAAAACTGTTGAGTCATGAATCTGCCATTCCTGGGACTATAAATTATACTGCAGAGAGACCCATTTCCTCTTCTTTTCGGTTATTTTGCTGTTATTGTTTCTGACCTTCTAATGTTCGATCGTTTATATATTAGAAAATTTCTCTATTTTTCTGTGTCGAGGCCTACGTAACGATAAAATCTATTGTAATCGATCTTCTTCTTTTTTGTCTCATTCTTTGTTATTGCTCTTTGA